GGGACAGATTTCGAGTTCATAGCTGGGGCAACTCCCATCTGTTTTAATCATTTTCCAAAAACTATATGCTCGATGTGGGAGTTGAAAACTCAGCCTCAGGAGTTACTAAATTCTTTTTAGGTTAACCCAAGTGTTTCATTTTCTCCTCCATCACAGAATCCCTTTTGAAAAAACAACAAGGACATGGAGTCAAATGATTATGTCACTTCCAGCTTTAAAAAGCATTCCACTGCTGTGGGCAATTCTCTGAGGTTCCAGGCCATTTGGCCACGATACCTCCCCTCCCAGACCCACGCCCCACGCGCTCACTCCTGGCCTGCTGGTACTCTCCGAGGCTAAGCCGCCTTGCATCCTCTTTGCTTGTGACCTTCACACATGCTGTTCCTTGTAACCGTCTTCACCTTCCCCACATCTCCCTCCTTCCAACTCATCTTCCCAGCTCCCTCCAGTTAAGGCCAGGTTCCCATTGGGTGGCTCATCCTGTCCTCTTTCAAAACACATTTCACAATATTTTTCAATTTATTTGTGTGATTACTTCACTGTCCATTTCCACTGCTGGAGTGGAAGCTCCACGAAGATAGGACTTGACCCTTGTGAATATTCTCTGGCATCTACAAAAGTAGTAGGTGCTTAATACCATAAATGGTGCGGATCAAGACCTGGGCCTCTAACTTTCTAGTCCAGTGGAGCCAAGTTAATGTGTTAACCCCCAGGACAACTTACAAACAAAGGAGGCACAAATGGCACAAAATTTCAAAAGGAAGTGGGCAGAAAAAGATTTTGCTTACTTGTAAGATCATTCGTGGTCATTAAAGTGGTTACTATTCTTGCTGTAAAAGAAAATTTTCAGCAATAAATATCAACTCAGACATTTTGGTATTTAGCTAATGTCAAGACAGGAATATATACTAACTATTCTTGAAAGATTTTGTTAGTACGGAATACTAAATAGCACCGTATTTCATAAAACATATCAAAGCCAGCCATTGTGGTTTTGAAGCTGCCCAGTGAGCCGAGAGGCTGAGCCCGCC